TTTCTTGCCCATAAAAGATCGACAATCATCAAAAAGATAAAACATGGCATTTGAAACAATTTTGACATAATCTGTCAAATTGTTTTTAAACGTAAGGAACCGTATTTTGTTATTGACTTACTTGATACGGAATTTCTCCTGGCTTAGCAGCCTCGCCGTTTACGATCCTCGGATCGTACTTCGGCAGCAATCCAGCTATGTAAATAGTAATGGCAAACAATAATTAGTATGTCAACGATTTCGGGTGAAACGCTGCTCATTATGCAGCTTTCACTGATTGCTTTGCTTATTAGTCGAATTCAATCGTGTAAATTGCTCCTCGATGAACATTCATGCGAACGAAACAATCCTTTAATTTTCATCGGTTAGTACAAAATCGTGCCAAAATCACTATTTCAAGTTTCTATTAAACGAGTAGTCAACGTTATTTATTGTTCGATATTGGAATGAAATAAAATTAAATATACAATCTTTAATCACAACTGGTCCGACGAAACTTTTTTGAAATTAATTAAATTAAAAGATTTAATTTCTTTTAAATGGAAAATAATAGATGAAAACTGAAATCATTGCTCACCATTCGAAAGTCCTAAAAGGACAAACAGGGAAAACACTTTTAATAACATGTTTCTCTTGTGTTGCTCTCAGTGCACTGAATGAAAATCTCGTAAGAGCCAATATTTTATAGTCCGATGAGATACGGAAAAGAATAAATATATACATAAGTTTGAATCGTCATTTGAGATTAGATAGATCTGCAATATGTGTTGTATCAATACACGAATTCCGTGATCGATCCAGATTGATATGATTATTTCCTGATAACGGCTTCCGCCATACGTCGATAAACTGGAATGAACTAATCTCTCTTCATTTCTGATCGTTCAAGATTCCACAAAACGTTGTTCGGAGTTTCCCAAAGTAAGAGTTAAGATTGCTAGCAGTTTTATTGTGATTTATGGCTCGACTTACACTAATTGCTGTTTTCATCGCTCCGTAAAGCTATTAATTTCTTTGGTAATGAACGTGATTCGACGTCTCCCATTTACTTTAGTTTGCTGACATTTTTTAGAGAATTTTAATTTATGATCGTTTTTACCTCTTCTCTTATAAGTTATAGTCTTTTTACAAGAATACTCTAATAAGAAAATTCAAATTGATTGAAAAACTTAGAAATATAATTGAGAAACTATGATATAATAGTATGACTGAACTTTCCGTAAATTGGTCCAGCTTGCCATTTAAGATGTGTTGTACATATAGTTTCAACCATATCACTTGTCGTTTCATTGAGAACTTTATAGTATCGTTTTTAAAAATCGTAGTTGTGAATGTACTCAACAACAAACACCAGCTGATCCTATCTTTTTTTAGTAACACATTCTTCATAAAGATTTATAAACTGCGTTCTGTTGTGTGCTTTAGGGCAATGTACACATTACTGGAATAGTGAAGAACTTTGATGGCTTAGAACTGTTCCACGTCAATGTTCATGACAGACTGATGCATGTATGTGCAATTAAAATATGGCTTTATCGACGACAAAATTATTTTACCTAGTTAAAAGTACAAAGTGTTCCTAGGAAATTGCACGATTCATGGAATGATGATTTTTATGTCCATTTACGACGAATGTTACTGTATTATGTGATGTACTTATACGTATGTGTAGAAAAAACGTAAAATACACAAGTTAAAAATATATTAGTGGAATATGATTGACTATAGTCATATTTAATTCGCCTGATTGCTTTAAGTATTTATAATTTGCACAAAATGAGAATTAAACAGAACATATTTCATTTTTACTTTTCACACATACAGCTTCGTCTAGCTTCGAATACTGTTTATATTGATTAGTAATAGAAAAATCGAGGAGGCACAATTTAGTTGGCCAATATTTGATGCACAAATATTGACGTGATAAATTGAGAAAATGGTTATTGCGTATAACATGTGAAATTACATTTTAACTTGTTCAATCTTAAATCGATATCAAAGTATGATAAGCACGTAGACGACATATCATTCATCATTCATCAAATCACCGGCATTGATTGCTTATCATCTTTATTAACAGTGATTTCAATGTCTTTGTATTCTTTGATACTTTAAGCTCTGTTTAATACATTGATGCACATTGCATATCTCACAATAATTTTCTTTATCTCGTTTCGTGTACATTATTGGTTAACAATTCTTATTAATCGAAAAAATTTTACGTATCAAAAGAAAGAACCGTTGATCATTCTATTAAGGTAGTTATCACTTAAATGAACACTAATCGAGATAATCACGAATCTTTCAACAAAATTAATTAAGCACCTGATGGATACTTTTGCGACATTTCAGTGCATTTTACCACGTAGTTTCTGAGTTATGCTTAATCAAAGTTGACTACTTTTCGATATGTTTAGCATAAGCTTAACTCGAAACATATAGAAATTCATTATTATTATGTCCATGAGAGTGTAAAAGAA